GCCATGTTACAATGGCGCGTGTTGTCGAGACTGCCGACAGCTACCCCGCAAGAATCGTCTCTTCAACCAGTTTGCTGCCGAATGCACCCCCCCACCGAGACTCCCACAGGCAACGGCACCACGACGTCCGCACAGTTTTCATCCGGCCTGCGTCTCAACAAAATGATCGGTTCTGCTTGTGATCGCGTATATCACTTGTTCCAGGACCTCGCCAATCTTCAACATGGCGCAGCTAGGCTTAGGTGCATGTAGCAGTTTCGAAGGTCGAGCTGTTCTGGGAACCTGTTGCGACATAGACACCGTGACTGAGCGCTGCAGATGCTGCAGGCACATGCACGACGGGACGTAGCCACGTAGCTGCGCATGGGTAGCTTCCGCCATCTTGTGGATTAAAGACGATATGTGAGATACATATGAGACCCTAGCATGGCAACGGCCTGCTACACAGGTGCTAGGAGGGCTTTGACGTTCCAATGCGCGGCCTTTCGCGGCCTGGTCCATAGCAAGACCCACATGAGGCCATGGCCTTGGCTTGCACAAGCACGCAGGCCTCTTGAAATAACAGCAACACGACTCTCACTGTCAGTTCCCTGTCGATCCTGTCCCGTTCTTGCCGGCCAGGTCTCCAATTGGTTGGCCGGTTGGCTCGCTCGAAGAACTCATGGGTGCCAGCGAGCAAAGAGTGCTACAAACTACTCCACTTCTGTTGACCTGTCTCCGCCTGCCATTCCCTCCCTGCCCCGTCGGTGTATTTCAGGTAAATAAAGCTATTCGACGCTATCACTGTCTCCCTCCCTCCGTCCAACCCTCGCTCACTCGCTTTTTCTATATCTCTCCCGCTGTTGCTCTGGCTCTCGCTGTCTCTCTCAGTCTCTTCACTTCAGTGGAAAAGATATGGATGCTACATCAAAGGGCCCTAAGTCACGAAAACAATCTGTGATGGGTCCCCCTTATCTTCACGAGCTGGTGTCAAGTGCAAACTAGTGCAATCCCCTTCAGTCGTTTCGAGGGCCCAGTCTGTAAAGGAGCAATGGGTGGCATCAAGACCAAGTACTTATTGAGGAAACAAGAGTAGATCCCAAGAAGGCTCAAGGGGGCAAGTATGCTCCCGGGCCCGATTCGGAGGCAGGTGTGTCAGCTCCCCCCGTGACTGCAACTTAACACAGTAGCAGTAGCAGAAGGCTAGCACGAAGCATGAACATCAGATTCATAACTTTCTCAGTCTCTTTCTTTCTTTCGCCAGGGCTATGATGTAGGAGGGGGAACCCCCTACATCAGTCTCTCTCTGTCTCTCTCAGTCTCTCTCTCTCTCTCTCGTCAGGGCTCCCTCTCTCTCCCGCTCTCTCTCTCGCGCGCTCTTTTGTAGGGTTTCATTGTCTTCTTTGCGCGTTTTTTATGTTGAATTGCAGGTTTTTTTTTAAAGTTTTGCTTTGAATTCTTTCAGGGTTAGTGACTTTTGCTGCACGTTTTTTCTGCGTCTTAGACATGTCAGAGACCAAATAGAAGTAGATGGAAAGGCCGACATAAGATTACCAGAGCCTGCCCGAGTGTGGCACCAAGACAAGACGAGCACGGAATCACCATCTTCGAGTCGTAGTTTACTTCGGAACGGGTAATGCATTCTTGAATATTAAATCAACCCTGGATGACCGAATCAACCCTCGAAACACGATCATGAGCGCGCCTGTGAGGGCGCCCCGGATGCTTTGCTGTCCGAAGAAGATAGACTCTTGCGTGTTCCTTGGCGCGGAAATTGGAACAAGATAAGCAAGTTGCAAGCTTGAGGCCTGGGCCGTTGAAGATCATCATGAAGGCGAGAAGACCGAGCGCTGCAAACTCAAAATCCCTTTGCAACGCTCAGCACCATGTCCGTGCTTCTTCTCTTGTTTCTATCCAGGTCGCTTGAAGCCTGAACTTGGGAAGGGAGGTTGGATGCACTGGGTTTTGTTGACAAGCTTGCATACAGGTAGATATGGCTTGAGCAACTAGTCTAACGAAATATGGCAAGTGTGCAGCAGCATGCAGGACATGGTGCGGTGCCTGGAAGCCAAGAGGAAGGGGCGACTACTGTGCATGTGCGTCCAATACGACACATCATCGGTGCTCTCCTGAGGTTGTTGAGTGCGTGAGGCAGAAGCCCATTACAGTCTTATCTCTTATTCGGCCCACGCCCATCGAGCTATCACCAGCTCGCAGCCGCAGCCAACCGGCAACAGAAGCACCTGCGCTCGGCCTCTGTCCAGGTGGTGAGATCCCGAGCTGAGGCTGCTGGAACAAGTTGGTGTTTTGACCGTATAGACAGATATGGGCCGGTATACATAACACTTACACAACAGTAAACAGATACTGAAATTGTAAGAACATCTAATTCCCTCCCCGTTCATGTCCGCTAAGGCCAGAGGAACTCGCAGCCCGAGCATAAGCTACGCTTCGCTACGCTTCCGACTCGTCATCATAGGGCAGCCGATCAGGCCCCATCCAGCACAAGAGCGAGGGCTTTCCATCCACACCTCGCGCTTCACAAGCACAAGAACCCAGCCTACCAGAACTTTCTGTGCCTTCGAGCTCGCAGAAAAGCATTGCCTGCAGCAGCAGCTGATGCATAAAGTCTCTGACCTGTGGTCAATCGCAAAGGGTGTGCTCATCGTTGAGCTGGTGTCGGTATGGCTGCCCTTAAAGCGAGAAAGTTGCAGGAGACCTGCATGATATTCCTATGAGCCCTGATTGCATGATCTCCACAGGCGAAATGCTGTGGAACTAACAGGTTGAGATCTTTGATGACCAGGCCAAGCACGGCAAATCAGAAGTATACGGTCCCTTGCCGCTGCCTTGTTCTCGAAAGCTGCAGCCTATGCTGTTGGTCCGTTTGCAAGCCCTGCCCGAAGTCAGACCCATTGCCTCCGGCAGCGACGATGCCGAATGAGTCTGGGGGTCGTGCGGTAGGCCGCATAGGCAGGCATGTAGTTGTCGACGAACTTCTTGACATCCTCTTCCGACATCCCGGCTCCTCGGGGGGTCACCGGTGGAGGCAAAGCCACGCTCCACACTCCACTGTCACACTCCAGGCCTCGGGTCTGCTTCATCTGCGTCTCGGCCTGCTGGCGCCAGGCATAGACCTGCGGCCAGGTCAAGGCGCCCAAGGCCCAAGGCCCCCGAAAGGATCCCGGCCTGTCGAATGTCTTCCACAGCCAGGACGCAGAAGGAGTCGACGAGGTCATCCCACGCCTCACCACAACTTCCTCTCTTGAGGGCCTCCGTACCTTCCTTAACTGGGCCTCGCCTGGTAGTCCTTCAGCTTCGCGTTCACGAGCCGAAGGCCAGGGTGGATGGCAACGGCCTGGGAACCGACGGCATCCAGAGACCCGCAGTACGAGGCACTGAAGACACAAACACACTCACTACCTAGGACTTCGTCAACGTACAGCTTTTTTGTAACGGAGTACACTGAGCTTCCAAAGTCAATGCTGGCCCTGTCATGAGGGCTTATAGGTCTCAAAAGCTCCGGTGCTGCCTGCATAGTCAAAGTTCCTTCGTGCTTAAACACTATAAGACGAAGAGGCCTCCCGGGCCGGATTTGTGTAGTGTCTGTTGGCATATTACGATGGAAGTCGACACCGAGGCAAGGCTGCGAGCGAAGGAAGCTCCAAGCATCTTCGATGTCAGCGTTGCCCCCGCTTTTTGAATCGCCATCCGCTCTTCGTGACTCAAGTCGCTAACTGTCGCTGACTGTGCCGGGGACCCCTGATCTTCCCGACACGCCCACCGGCCCGGTGCCACAGCTGTGAGGCACCGTGAAGCAGTGGGAACTTCGGGCACCTGGCGAGACCTTTGAATCCGGCACTGAAGAAGCAGGAGTTCTGATCGTCTAAAATCTAAAGATTGTCCATGCCCGTGCTCTATAATGACGACGGGTCTCGCAGGTGCCCCCACGTGAACCCCACTCTCCGTGTCCTCTGTGACATTTGGCTCAGAAGCCAAAGCCCCCTCCGAAGGAGTCTTCAGAGTCCGAACCGAAATCTCGGGTGCGCAGGTGCTTGGGCCCGTCGAACCGGCGGTCGATGCATCTACGCATTCGATGCTTCTTCACTGTGCAGGGGCAGGATTTCCAGTCGGAGCTCGCAGCCAGGTTTGATAAGCGCCTGCGACCCTGACGGACTGCATTGACCACGGACTTTCCCTGCTGTGCCAAGAGGTGGCCCTCGCTGGGATGAGCCTCCTGCGGATGGATCACGCCGTTGTCGTGGGCATCCTTCAACATTTGCTTCAAGATTGGATCCAGAACTTTGGCGTCACTGGCAGCTCGAGCAAGCAGGAGCGGCCAGGCGATCTGCAGCAGGTCCTCAATGCTTCTGACACTGGTAATGCGCACCTCGCTGTCATCTGCCTCGTCCTCTGACGGCTCGTGGCCCATCAAGTTCACCTCGACTCCATCAGCGTCTGACAAGGTCTCCCGAGGGCACCCACGGAATGGGATGGCGTTGATGTTGAGCCAGGTGTCATGGACGCACTTCAAGATTTCATGCGCATTGCCGAAGCCAGCTCCGATGTCCGTGGCTGCTCTGATGGCACTCTTGACATGGACTCCACATTCTGAGAACCATTCAACGATCATCTCATCTGTCTCTTCATAGGAGTCATGCCAATCCATGTCCACCGTGTGGGCAAGGCTGGAAACGAAGTCGTTCAATGACTTTTTCACACCCTCCACGTCCAAGAGCTTGTTCTCCGTCTCTGAGAGTTGTTTTGCTCCTTGGGCCTCCTTCTTCAGGCGCTTGGCCACGTTGGCTGGCGTGTCTTTGTTGGCTTTGCGCTTCAAGGGCACCACGTCGTCCTTCGGCACAGGCCTGCCGCTGAACAAAGCTGCCAGCACGGGGGACTGGCCAACTGCAAGTTCACGAGCCTGCCGGAAGTGCACCTGATTGCCACAGTGCCAAGCCAGCAGATCTTGATCGGACAGAGGAGGCGCTGTCACGCAACGAATGGTCTTGGCATTGCCTACCGGACTATCAACAGTCTGCAGGCTGCCACCATTGGTTTTCATATAACATGACAGCGCCTTCTTCAAGGTCAACACAAGCTCAACTTCTTCGTGAAGCGCATGGCTTTCCATAGAAAGCACGTCTTCAAACTTCAACTGGAAGGAGTACAAGGGGGAGTGCAATCTGGCCAAGGACACGTTCCAGAACGTCGGCGCGAAGTCCTCCCTGTCCCCCCTTGCAATCCTCTGCTTCCTCAAGATCTTGGCCACGTTTTGAGGGGAACGATTGATCTCCAGCACTTCGAAGGCAAAGCGCTTGTTGCCAAACATGATCTTCCCACAGAGAAAAGTCTCATTGCGCGGAACTTTCTGTGGCCGAGTGCCCAGGAGCGGATCCCCTTCGATCTGCACCGCCGGCCCAGAAGTACCCGAGCGCCACTTGCGACGTCCGATCTGCAACTCGTTCACATTGAACTGCACTGGTGCCGGCGCATTCTCTTTTGGCCGGGGCATGGAGAGACGTCCGACACAGGTGCGTTGGGAGGGCCGGGAGCTTGATTTAGGCACGGCTTTAAAGACGAGACATCATAACGATGATGCCGCCACCCCATGCTAAGGAAGACTGGCTCGAGGGACACGCCTCGGGGTCCGACGTCGGCTTGAAACCCAGCATCCTTGGGATCCAACGCTACAGTATCGCTGCCTGCGAAGCCTTGGACAAAGGTCCTTAGTTCAGCACCAGCCCTCCAGGAGCAGCACGTCGCAAGGTGTCTTTGCACGCTTCCACATCGCTTGCGGAACCTGCCCACGGGGGAATCGCGCTGCAATGCACTACAGACAGTGACTCAGACTCGGCAGCATGACTCTCTGACGGGTGGTTGTGGAAGCATGCATGAACTTGACAGGCCTCGCCATGCCGCACAAAGATATGCGATGATAGGTCTAACTTAGATGTTTGAACGGTAACCTTGTAGAGCAGAGTCTCAGAGCCCTTCATGAGCCAGCACTGTCCGCCTGATCACCACGGCCAGAAGTTGCCGATTTGTCATACCGGGGCAAGGCAACCTCAAGTGGGTGTGAAAGAATTCCGCGGGGTCGTCGCCGCCGTATTTGAATCGACACCTGAACCTAGACTGAGACTTGATGATTGCCAGTATCCGGCGAATACGATGATTGAAACATCTTGGAGGCCTTAAAAAATAGGATGAAGGCAAGGAGTAAGGATCCCTTACATGAGGACTCTTATTCTTTGGGGTTACCATTCCTACCTTCATCCCACCCTTGGAGCCCTTTGAACATCTCTTAACTGTAGATAACACTTGGCACCCAGCCTTCATCACCGCAGGAGCTCTGTTCTACTGCGATGCGGGATTGACGAACTTCCGAAACTCCATTCTCTTGGTCTGCGCGTTGTGGGAGAAGAGCCGACTGTGAGAGGCGGCATGAGCCCATTCCGAACCAGAAGATTCCAAAGTGGGGCGCGGCCGAAAGGCCGCCCAAGCTCCCAGAGCTGAGTCACTCAGCTCCGCGCCTCGGTGTTTTTGCGGCTCCTGAGGGCCTCGCCAGAAAGCCCAGGGCACAGCACACGAGCTGCTCATGTGATCTCCACGGAAGCTCGTCGGTCCTTCAGGGTTCGGGTGCCCAGTTGCACGTCGTGCGTCCCCGCATTCCCCCGAGTCCTTGGCACTCCGCAGGCTGCTCCCAAAGTGGCCCCCCGAAACTCAGTCGCTGACTGAATCAGCGGATTCTCCGAGTGGAGCTCCGACACCGCCTTTTGGCTACGCCAAAAGAACAGACAGACCGGCGATGCGGCGCCGACGACGCGGCCCTTCCCCCGCCTCCTGCCAACTGGCAGGGAGGTAGAAGTCGTCGATCGAGAGCGACTGCGAAAGCAGGTCGGTCTTTTCGAAGGGGAAAAAGGCTGAGGTTCTAAGGAGTGTTCCAAGGTTCACTTCTCGAATTGAGCTTCTGCACCGGCTAAAGATTGAACTGCGCTCAAGCTGAACCGTTGGAATTTGAGCAGGAGTCCCGTTGCCTCGCAGCTGAGGCCGTCCAAACGGAACAGCTCTTCAAGCAGAGTGACCATTGTGGTTTTTCCACAGCCTTGAGGCCTCTGCACACCCCACAATAGGCTTTGCATATGGGCTCCCGTTCCGATGTTCCGGGATTCCGGGCTCCTCGCGCTGAAAGGCCAAAGCAGATCGCTTCTGCCGGCTCGCCCCTCCAGGTGCTGCCACAGAAAGGGTCATACGAGGTAGTTACACTACTTGGGGGCGAGCAACTTCGCATGCTTGGTCTTCTGAATCTCAGTCGCTCTGCACGCAGCCCGTAGCTATGCCGCAACGGAAGTCGGAACAAGAACTCTCAATCGACGAAAGCGTGCAGCTCTCGTGAACTAGCGGCAGAAGCTGAACATGTCAGACTCGATCCTTCACAGTACGCAAGCACAGGTGTCGAAGATGTTGGAGGCATGTCGGCGGTTTCGCCACGCAACCAACGCCAGCAGCAATGCTTCCCGGAAGACGACTAGTGACTACAGTAGCTGTGACATGAACTGCAAACGATATGAAGTACCCGTAGCTGTACGTCCGCACAGCTGTACTGCTCGAGCAGCTTTTCGCCCCGGCCTTACCCGACAAACCCTTCAAATGGAATGGAATGCTATAGCTACCATAGCAGCGCAAACCAATACACTCCGTCACTCCGCCTGAAGCATTTCACATCTGCTTCTTGCTTTGCTTGCCCTGTCTGACAAGCCGTGAGTGCCTGCAGAGGATGTGAGACGTGCACACAGCCTCAGCCGGCCCGCCTCAGCTCTCTCGACGCTCGGATCTCGGCCATCTGGTGGCGCATCCAGTAGTAGACGGGCCTCAGAGTCGCATTGCAGATGATGAACAGTAAGTACGAGCAGCAGCATCTGCGACGATGTCTCAAGGGGAAGGGTTGGCATTGGGGGAGATCAGCGCGAACTCGAAATGAGCTTCAAATCCGCCAAGCGGAGGCCTAAAAATGCCAGAGTTGTGTGAATCGCAAAATTGGGTCCGCTCAGTGCTGGACAAATAGAAGTGGTAGATGCGGCGAGCTATCTGCAACAGCAGACACGAGACAGAGCAATCGGTACTGCCGGAGGTGGAAGCCTTCTCTTCCTCCGTGGATCCCGGCGCGCCAGGGCCCAGCCGCTCCTGAATGCATTCCTCCAGCGATCTCCTTTGCAAAAGGTTTCCGAGCTTGGGCTGTGGCTGCCAAGACCTGCGGTCAAGGACGACAGTGACGTAACAACGGCAGGATTCATGAGCAACACCGGCCTCACCATGCCTCAGCCACTCAGAGCTGTGAGGTGGAGAGCAGCAAAGCAGCAGCTTCTGGTAGAGGGGTCCTCCAGAAAGATTCCAGAAGGATATGTGGAGGCTGTCCCTTCGCTGTGACAATCGGTAGAAGATGTGTGTTGCTTCTTCAGAGATCCGAAGGACTAACAATCCGGAGGAAATGCAATTTTGCTGTGCTCTGCTGGCCCGGATCCACAGCAAAAGGGGCCGTTCGGCCGTTCATCTTTCCCCGGCCTTCACGAACGAAGTCCTCGACCTGGGCAGCGCTCGCCGGCAGCCGCCTCCGTACCGCTGGTGCTGCCTGTAGATGAGCAAAATGCCGTGCATTTAGAGAAAGACAGAGAGAGCTCCGTCGAAGAGTGGCGGGTCTGGGTCTGCGGCAGTGGAGGAGGAGGAGGCGGAGGAGGCCGAGGCCGAGCACAGGGACGTGCCACCTGCAAGGGGATCGCCCAGCTCTTCGCTACGTCACCCGCTGCTCCTCCTCTTGCTCTCCTCGAGGGCTCTTTTGCCACGCAGGAAGAATCACTTATAAAGGAGTGGGCGAAAGCTGCTTTGCATTCACGGCCGGTGCCGAGGCTTTCTCGTTCTTTCTGCAGGCGTGCAAGGAGAGGCGATCCCTTTTTTCTCTGCGCGTGCATGCGTGCTGGCGGCAACGTGGTCTGGGGGAAACACGGAACAAGTTCTTCTGCAAATGTCAAGACTCCCTCGCGTTCTCTATTGAACGTGCGCAAAGAGGCGTGCTACGAGGAAGACAAAACATTACGTTGGTCGATCCTTTCCATAAGTCGAAAAGCACGCCTCCCCCAGAGGTTGGACAAAGCAAAGCGATTCTTTTCAGCATCGCAGAGTCCACTACATCTGGACGCTCTTTCTGATTCCTTGTCCCTGGGCCTTGGCGATGCCCTTCGCAGACGCAAGTCTGCGGCGAGAAAGCTCCGGAGGAGAGACCTGCCAAAGCGCCGCAACGCAGAAAAGCCCGGGCCCCCCCGCCCGGAGTGTCTCTGATGCTTCGGCCCCGTCGAGACTGCAGGAGCGTCAATGGCAGAGATGACACCTTGACAAAATGCCCGGTGGAAGCACTGGTTCGTCCGGGCTGCTCTCCCTCACTCATTGCAGGCAGGCCGCAGCCGCCAAGCCCGCCAATCTTGAAAGCTTCGGCATCGGCGGAAGTTCAAAAACTCAATGTCGTAATTGCCGGGTGCTCTTCGCTGTGTGTTTTCTGCCAGGTACTGGCCACTTGTTCAAGTTCTGGTCTGCATGTGCGACTCTTAGACGCGGGGTGACGCCGAGAGCCGCCCAACTCCCCCGACGTAGCGTCCTCTACAGGAGCTGCAAAAACCGGCCCGTGCCTTTCTCAAGCTGATTCTCTGCTGGATGAACTGCTAAGCGAATGGGCGAAACAAAATACTGCAGTACTGATGACCCTTCTGTGCTGCCAGGAAAGCTCGTTAGGCCTTGCACCTACCGGAGGTAACAGCAAGTTCGAGCTTGAAGATGCTTCTCACGCACGAGAGTTCGCCCAGTCCGAATCACACGGCGCTTCGGAGGCGCACGAGTCAGGCACAGATCGTTCAAGCACCTAGCATAAAAGTGCAAACAACAAAGAACACTTCGTGCGAGTCGGATCGGCCTGGGAGGACCGCTTCCAACATGGCCTTCTCGCGGTCAAAGA